ATCAATGTAGGTTTGAAGTCTACTTTGTCAGAGATAAGTATTGCTACTCCTGCCTGTTTTCGGGGGCCATCGGCTTGGTAAATCTTCTTCCAGCCTCAGTCTTGTATTGTTAAGTTGGATTTTAGCTCTAAGTTTTCTGTACATGTTATTAGGTTGAATAATTTCCCCTCTATTAGTTTAATGACAATTCTTATTATGAGTGGATGTTGAGTTTTGTAAAGCTCTCTTATGCTTCAGTTGATATGGTTGTATGATTTCTGTTGTTTAGATTTTTAACAATGGTGTGGATCACATTGATTGATTCTTGAATATTAAGCCAGGCTTGCATTCTGGAAATACATTTCAGTTGGTGATGATTTAGAATTTTTTATGCACTGCTGTATTTTACTTGCTATTACTTTGCTGAAGAGTTTGCGCATCTAAGTTCATGAGTGATTTTAGTAGGCAGTTTAATTTTATAATACTGTCTCATGATTTCTTTTTGGTTAGGGTAATGCCGGATTTCTGACTTGAGAGGTATTTCCTCCTCTTCTATTTTCTAGAATCATTTGCATAAATGTGCATTAATCCTTAAAAATTTAGTAAAATTTTCCAGACAAACCATTTGGGGCTAGAGAGTTCTTTCCTTGGGAGCTTTTAAATGGTACATTCAGTTTCTTTCATAGTTGTAGGACAATTTAGGTTGTGTTTTCATTTTGGCCAAATTTTGTGGTTTTTACGAAATTGGTCAATTTAGTCCGTATTGTGTTTATGAGCATAAAGTTCCCTGAAGTGCTCCTTTCTCATGCTGTAAAGTGTCTGCATAAACCTGTAGTGCTGTTCTTGTTTCGTTGCTGATATGATTTGGGTTTTTTATCTTTGTTAGTACTGCTAAGTGGTTAATTTTTCAAACAATGAGATTTTATTTTATTGATTTTTCTTTATTGTTTACCTGTTTTCAATTTCATTGTGTTCTGCTCTTAAGTGTTTCCTTCTGTAGGAGGGTTTCAGGTTTATCTTGTCCTTCATCTTCTGGTGTTTTTTTTGAGGAGGGTGTAGGAATTCATTGCCTTGAGACTTCCATAAACAGACGAATGTGATAAGTACTTATTTAAGAAGAAAAAGGCATTAAATGTTGTCATAGATATGTATGTAGTATAGAAAAATACTGTTATGCATGCACACACATTATACATGAGTTATAACAGTCTACTGTATTGACATATACCACTTTTTCAAATATGAAAGTCTCAAGTGTTTTCTCCATGGCCACTGAGGGCCACATCAGATGATGGTAGCTGGGACTACAGGCATGTACCACCACACCTGGCTTATTGGTTGAGATATGTCTTGCTAACTTTTTGCCCAGGCTGGACTCAAACCAAGATCCTCCTGATCTCTTATTTTTCCTTTTGTGATAATGCTTTGGTTTCCCTTCTGTCTGAAGGATATTTTCACTGGGTACAAAATTCATTTTTGAGAGTTCTTTAATCCTTTATAAATGTGCCAATTCCTTCTGGCCTTCATTGTGTCAGATGAGAAGTCTGGTGTCATTAGAATTAATGTTTCTTTATATGTAATGTCCTTTTTCTCTGCATGCAGTCAAGATTTTTTTCTTCCAGATTTTTTCTTCATCTTCAGTTTCCAGAAGTTTATCACTTGTCTCACTTCTTAGAGGTTTAATTCTTATATATCTTAGCATGGACTTCTTTTGTTTTACCCTATCTGGGATTCACTTAATTATTGAATCTGTAGTTTTTTCATCACAAAATTTGGGCAGTTTTCATCTATTATTTCTTCAAATACTTTTTCTGTGCAATTTTCTCCTTTTGGGACTCTAATGACACAAATATTAGTTGTTTTATTATTGTCTCACCAGTCCCTGAGAGTGTTCTTGGATTATGTGATACCTTTCTAGGAAAAACAGCACCAACTTGTACCACCTTCTTGGCCTACTTGATACAAGGTTAGGGCTTTGATTGATGCTACACAGTGGAGGAGTAGAAAGAGCACTGACTCATGTCATTGTGTTGCTGTAATGTAAAGGGGAACCTTAGCTCTCTGCTGGGCCTTGCTGAGACTAGGATGAGTGAATGAAGGAAATCCAAATGTCAAGTAAACCTGGTTCCCTCTGCTTTTTCTGCCTTGTTGATACTGATTTGTAGTAAATACTCAGCTTTCTATGGGCCCTGCTGACTTGGATGACAGGGGAACAGAATAATGACTGGTTCTGCTTCACACTGTACTGTCATTGCTGAATGTGAGTGGAGGTTTTGCTCACCATTGGGCCTTGCTGTCACTACCTGGTTAGGGGATTGGAGTGCTACCTCGTTCTCCTACATGGGAGATGGAAATTAATTTCCCACTTAAACTCCACTGAAACTGTGGGGGAACAGAGGTTCTGTTGCTCTTTGAGGCAAAAAAGATTTTCTTAGGTTAGGTTACTCTTTCTCTGTTGTTTGGCCTAAAAATAGACTTTTCTTGAAGCCCATTTTATCTATATGGTTCTGAGTTAGAGGGTTTTGCAATATCCTGTCTGGAATTTGTAGGTGGCAAGAAGAAAACTCAGAGAGTTTATCACTGCTGTTTTCCAAGTCCCAAGACAATCACCTTCTTTCTGGCTCTCAGACTCTGCCTGTATTTGTTCAGTGTGTTTTTTATAGGGTGTTTTTGACAGAGATTCTCCCTACGTGTAGCCCATGTTGGCCTTGAACTCACCATCCTCTTGCCTCTATCTTCCAAGTGCTGGGATTATATGTGCCTCCATGCCTGGCAAGTGTTTAGTCATAAGGACTTGGAAGTTACTGTGGGGTTATTTCAGCTTGGCCAGAGCTGGAAGTCTTTGTATCAGTTTTGAAAGATGGGAAGTAGCCAATTAAAATTTTGGCTATACAGATCACTATACACATATATACTCAAGTTGAGACATTTTCAAATGTTTTAGAGAAAGAGCTTTATTTATTTGAGGATATTTTGTTGTGTGCTTTTGGGTGTAAGCCCTCAGTTTTCATATATGTGTGATGAAATAATGGAATAGAACACCTAGGGTCCCTCCAGTTGATCTGTAATTTGATGATCATTGGGATAGTTTATCTAAGTCTCAAAGTATGTTACTATTGCTGAGATAGAGGGAAGAACTTGGGCTTTGCAGCTAGGCCTATGTTTGGATTCTGAACAATGGAGAAGCAGCTTTTACATAGCCATTAGAAGCATGGACACCAGGCCCAGTGTGCCTGGACTTCCATTTTGGGCAAATTACTTATCTTCTCTTTGTCGGGGTTCCATTACTGATAAAATGTGGATGATAGAACTGACTGTGCATGGCTGTGAATATTAGAGCACCTATATAAAGTGCTTGGAGCAGTGCTTGCACATAGCACACTTGATGTAAATGCTGACTACTACTTAACCAACTGTGTGGCTTTAGGCTAATCTTAATCTTAGTTTTGCCATTTGTAAGAGAGGGATAATTATGCTTATACACATCTTGCACAATACCTAATGTTATGTTTGTATATTAGTTATATTTAATGGAAATTCAATTGGAAAATGTTTCTGTTTTATAGATTTCCAAATACTTTTATCATGTAAGGAAATCCTGACTTATTGTCTTCCCTTAATTGCATAGAACGGAAAGACGCTGAAGGGTGGGAGACTGTTCAGAGAGGAAGGCCAGTTCGCGCTCGATCAACGGCGGTGATGCCAAAACTTCCATTAGTAACAGAAGCCTTGAAGTCAAAGGATGACAGTGATAAGGAAAATATATGTCTTTTACCTGAGAAAGCATACAGAAAGGTGACTTTGTTGAAGATGGACCTTCTAATACTGTAGAATCTCGGCCCAAAGACTCACCGCATTCCTCTGACCATCCTCTTGCTGAAAGAACCCAGGTACCATGTTCTGAAAATCCCTTT